CCATGAGCTGCAGAGAAGAAGGTATATTCTTTCCTTTTTGGGTAGAATGTTCTATAGATATCTGTTAAGTCCATTTGGTTCATTACCTCTAGCAATTCTCTTATTTCTCTGTTGAGTTTCTGTTTGATTGATCTGTCCATTGGTGAGAGAGGTGTGTTGAAGTCTCCTACTATTAGTGTGTGTGGTTTGATGACTGCCTTGAGTTCTAAAAGTTTTTCTTTTACATAAGTGGGTGCTTTTATATTAGGGCCGTAGATATTCAGGATTGAGACTTTCTCCTGATTAATTGTTCCTGTTAAGAGTATGAAATGTCCATCTCCATCTCTTCTGATTGATTTTAGTTTGATGTCAATTTTGTTAGATATTAGAATGGCCACACCAGCTTGTTTCTTAGGTCCGTTTGCTTGGAAAACCTTTTCCCAACCCTTTACTCTGAGTAGATGTCTATCTCTGTGGTTGAGGTGTGTTTCTTGTAAACAGCAGAATGTTGGATCCTGTTTTCTTATCCAGTCTCTAAGTCTGTGCCTTTTTATAGGTGAGTTGAGTCCATTAATATTAAGTGATATTAATGACCAGTGGTTGTTGATTCTGTTTATTATTTGTGTGTGTGTGTGTGTAGTAGAGTTTGTGTGTTTCTCTTCTTTGAGTTGTTGTTGTGAAGGGTCGCTAGATGTCTGGGTTATTGTAGGCAGTGATGGCAATGTTGGATTCCTTGGGTTGCGATTTTCCTTCTATTACTTTCTGTAGGGATGGATTTGTGGCTACGAATTGTTTAAATTTATTTTTATCCTGGAATATTTTGTTTTCTCCGTTGATAGTGAACGATAGCTTGGCTGGGTATAGTAGTCTGGGTTTGCATCCGTGGCCTCTTAGTTTCTGCAATACCTCTATCCAGGATCTTCTGGCTTTCATGGTTTCCATAGAGAAGTCTGGTGTAAGCCTGATAGGTTTACCTTTATAAGTCACTTGACCTTTTTCCTTTGCAGCTCTTAATATTCTTTCTTTAATCTGGATGTTTTGTGTTTTGATTATTATATGGCGAGGGGACTTTTTTTTTTGATCCAGTCTATTCGGCGTTTTGTATGCTTCTTGAACCTTCATAGGAATATCGTTCTTTAGATTGGGAAAGTTTTCTTCTATAATTTTGTTAAATATATTTTCTGGGCCTTTGATCTGCAGTTCTTCTCCTTCTTCAATCCCTATTATTCTTAGATTTGGTTTTTTTATTGTGTCCCAGATTTCCTGAATGTTTTGTGAAGAGAATTTGTTGAATTTGCTGTTTTCTTTGACCAGAGCATTTATTTTCTCTATGGTATCTTCAGAATCTGAGATTCGTTCTTCTATCTCTTGTATTCTATTGGTTATGCTTGATTCTGTAGTCTCCGCTCATTTACCTAGGTTTTCCATATCCAGCCGGTTCTCGTTTTGTGTTTTCTTCATTGCCTCCATTTTAGTTTTCAATTCTTGGACTGTTTCCTTTACTTGTTTGATTGTTTTTTCTTGGTTTCTCAGGGTATCATTCACGGATTTACTTATTTCTTCAAACTTTTTGTTATATTTCTCATCCATTTCTGTACTCATTTCTTCAAACTTTTTGTTATACTTCTCGACCAGTTCCTTAAGGGAGTTATTCATATCCTGTTTAAGGGACTCTATTTATTGCTTTCATAATGGCACTTTTTTCCACTTCATCTGGGTTAGAGTGTTCAAATCCTTCTGTTGTAGGGTCGTTGGGATCTGGTGTTTTCATGTTGTTTTTCAGATTGTTGGAGGAGGTCTTGCCTTGGCGTCTGCCCATCTCTTCCTTCAAATGCTCTCTATTGGATCTTCTGGTAGCGGGTCAGGTTCCCTTGTTGGGCAGGGAGTTCACTGATAGAATGCCTACCTTTCCTCAGGCAGGCTATTGAAGCACAGGCACTCCCTCTTTCTGGGATGCGCCTACAGAGCAGGCCCAGTGTGCAAGGCAGCTGAGCTGGGGAAATTTTATGGCCCCAGTGGGAGGGGAGAAATATAGAAATTTGTACCTGGATGGAAGCTGGGATGGCAGGCGGGAGAGCTTAGCAGGGTGGAACCAGCACTGCAGGTTGACCTGGGAGTCTATGGGGTCGGGGAATGTCTGAGCTCCTCCTCGCCTGGCCCCTGCTGCTGTCCTGAAGCAAACTCACCCCTCCGATGGCCCACTGGCTGGAGGCTGGGATGGCTGGCGGGGGCGCTAGCAGGGTGGAGCCAGCAGAGCAGGCTGACCTGGGAGTCTATGGGGTCGGGGAAAGTCCTAGCTCCTCCTCGCCGGGCCCCTACCGTGGGCCCGAAGCACACTCACTCCTCCCATGGCCCTCTGGATGGAAGCTGGGATGGCTGGCGGAGGCGTTAGCAGGGTGGAGCCAGCAGAGCAGGCTCTCAACAACTTTTTAAAAAGCATTAAAAGGTGACCAAATTATCTAATGTGTCAGGAGCAATGATTCACATGGGAAAATATGAAATGATGGAGCTGCCTCAGAAGAAATCTCAGTGCATAAGTGGGTGTACGCATGTAAGTTTGGAGTATGGAGAAAGTGTGGGCAGGAGACCAGGTAGAAGGGGATGGAGTCAGGGTTGGAAGATATATATGGCTTTAGAACTTCAGTATCTAAATGTTTTTAAGAACACCACTAACACTTGGTGGTGATGGAGCCTGCCTTTAATTCCAGCACAGATAAACCTTGTCTCAAAAGAAAGAACATCATTAACATCATGATACTTTATTTTCTGTGGCGAATTATTGTGTTTTAAACCAATATTCTATAATATTAAAAGCATTTAACAGTTTTTTGGTCATACATAAAATACAATTATTACAGGTAGCATTTGTATAATCTATATGAGGACATTTGTATAATCATATTTGATATGAGGACAAATATGTGGAAATGAATGGAGTGTGTCAATGAAGCTAATTTGGGTGATACAAAGCAACATGTTATGCTCAACACATGTGCAGAAATGGAAAAGAACATGCTGCATGCATTGTGTATATTATTTGTGTGAGTTCATTTTCAAATGTAATATGTTGATTATCCTCTTGTGTTTAACTTTTGAGGAACTCTAGAGTGTTAGTAGCTATATAATACAGAACTGTGCTGATTTTGATGCAGTATAGTTCATTCAATAGCTTTACTTCTGGCTAATAGACTTATTTCAGTCTTTCAGTCAACTTTACAAAAGAAAAGCCTGTTTGAATTATCTTAAATATGCTTTCTTAAATGTAGTTGCAAGTTCCCTCTACCAGGTGATCTCCTCGCCCCACCTCCCCAAAATTATTGATGTCTTTCTTTATGAGAGATTATGTGGACTTTGGAATTTGGAAGTTCATAAGTTTAAAAACTCTTCTTTTGAGAATTTGATATATGAGTCCTAGTATATTTCATTTCCATAGCCTTCCCCAATTAAAGATGTCTTCTTCTGTAATTTTTGATAATATATATGTATATATCAATCATGTATACACATCTGCTTAGTCTATTTAGCATTGCTTGTATATACTTGTGTCCAGAGCTGAATACTTGGGATTGGATAACCTCTGTGGGAATTTTTCCTTGAAGGAAGGCTTCTCCATCTTTCAATAGCTGTTGATTGCTTGTAAACTGGGAGGACACAGGGACCTCCTCAGCCTATACCTACCTCTTAATCAATACAGAAATTGGAATTCATCTAGAGCTAGGAACATGTGTAATTTCCCCTGTTGCTTGCCATGCCAACTGGTGTCATTATGCTGTTCTAATTCAGGAAACCATATTGTTGAGAAGTCATGAGAGCATTTCCTATATTATGCTTGAGACTCTCTCTAGCAGCTGGTGTCCTTGTCCTCTGGTTCTTACCTCTCTCTCCCCTTCCTTTTCCATGATTTTTCCTGAGTCTATATGTAGGGGCTGCATTGCAGATGTATCAGTTAGGGTTGGGCACCCCATAATCATTTATTCTCTGCAATTTGGCTAGTTGTAGATATCTGTAACCATTTCTACCTGTTGAAAAAGAAGTTTTTATGAATTATAAGGGCAAACACTTATAATACAGTTAGAAATTAATTTAAAACTAATTGAGATTTGTATTTAGAAGATAATTATGAGTCGATCTGTTCACTTTCTCTAACACACAAGGCTCTCACTTGCTGTCTCAGCTTTCCCACCAATAGAAGGAGCTGCATTTCTTTCTGCAAAGCAGATATCAGTCAATGTGCCCTATGTGCTTCATGTCAACCCCCACTTAGTGCATTTCCATTTTCCTTAGGAAATTATGGAACTGCCTGGGACATTGTGAATGCAGATGAGCTGCAAGATTAGCTGTATCATGGGTTTATCAAGATTGTGAATATCTCATTCACGAATTTAAAATATTTCACACCTGTTGACTATTTTGAATGTTTGGGATTTAATAAGACATACCATTGACAGAAGCATTTTCATCTTGCTTGCTCTGCATCTGGGTGGTGACTGCACACTTAACCTTTCCTCTTCCCAAAATTCTCTTAGTCTGGTTGCCCCAACTGTACTTCCTGCCTGGCTACTGGTCAAACAGCATTTTACTAAACCAATACAGTGACAAATATTTTCAGGGAACAAGAATGTTAGCCCACAGCAACATACTGTAAATTTTTAGAAGAAAAGAAATTGATTTAAAAAAAATGAAGTTACTAAGATTTATATGTGCACTGTGAGGAACTTCTACACATAGATTTAAATTGCACCCATTTATAAATATTTTAAAATGATCTAAGTTCTTGCTTTTTCCTCTTTAGAATGAGGACTTTAGGAGTCTGGTGAAAAGAAGAGAACATTTTAAAATTGCAAATTAGATAAAGTACATCAGATGATTGTTTGGGGAACAGAGAATAAAGTGTCTCTCAGGTTTACAGAGGTCACAGTGATGATTCCTCTCGAGGTTGCTCACATGCCCTTCTGGTTTTATTTCAAAGTTCTAGGTCTGTCTGAGGATTGTATGTTAACTTCTAACCCCCTTTGTTCTAGGATCCCCCTGTGACCCCAGCTACCTTCTGGCCTGTGTTCCCTGCAATGTGATCTCCGCTGTCATTTTCCAGCATCGTTTTGACTACAACGATGAGATATTCCAAGAGTTCATGGAATATTCTCATAAAACTCTTAAAATTTTATCCTCGCCTTGGGTTCAGGTGAGATGCAATTCTATTTATATGTGAAAACGTTATGTGACCCAAATCTGTTCCATTACCATCCAAAAGCTTTATGTGTCTTGATATCAGGTTTATTGGAGAGTTTCCATTCTGATGTTAAAACATTCTTGTAGTATACAGGCTGATTCGGTTCAGTTTTTTTCCCACAATCCAATGCCTTTCAGCAGCTGTGGTCCCTGCTTCATTAGCACTTAAAAATTTAAAGTTGGTAAACATTTTGCAATCTATCCTTGGGAGCCCTCATATCCCCCTTCTGTCTAAAAAGCATCTTGAAGTTAATTTTTGTTAACCTGAGTATACCTTCAAAACATTAGGAATTTATCATTATATGAAAATCTATTTTAATCCAAAATAATAATAAGCAGAGGTTCATTAGGACTTAGAAATTTTATAGGTGCCACCTTTTACCAATAATGGCCACCACTGTTCCCGGCTATTCTCCTGGGTGCTCTTTTTCCTGATAGTATTTTTTAGTAGCTGAAGTGACTGCAGTTCAGTATTACTGTCATGTTTCAATAAAGTTTGATTGATTTATTTACTTTTAAAGCAAGAAAACTGAGCGGAAGGAGCACACTAACCCTTCTTCCCACTTAGTTCCATTTTTATTTCTGTCACAAACCACATATGCTCCATTCATTCCAGCTTCTTGTTAACTAGTCTCCATCCTCAAGTGCCTCACTGCAAATGTTTCCTTCTATTACATCTTTTCTACATCCACAATCCTTCTGCTCCTTTTATTTCCAGTTAGGTCACTTTCTATTCTCAGTGCATCTCAATCCCTCATGTGTTGATTTATGTATGAGGTCAGTTAATGTTGAGCCTCAATCTTCTTTAGGGATACCCATTTTGGATGAGGATGGTGCAAACCATTATTACCACAAGGCTGAATTGTTTCTTAGGCCACTCAATAAACTTGTCCCCCAAATTTAAATACATAGCAGAATCAGTAAAGATAGTCAATAGATTAGAAGCATTTAATAAGGCTGAGTGATTACAGTGAATTTAATTTTTTGAGCTGTATAACTCAGTGTGGGTACAATCTTTTTGTGGAGCGTGTGGAATTTGCATGTAAATATACTCTTTGTCCTTTTCAATGCTGTCTAAAAAAAGCACTAAAAGAAATCCTATAGGATATTAGGAGGTAACTTTGGGCAATACCTATGGAGTTTGTAATGGATTTGCTGCGGGGTAGAGATCATGCGGCAGGTCCCCAAACCAAGGTGGCTGGTCCCCAGCCATGTGACAGCTGGCTGGTCTCTGGCGAGCAATGTGGGCAGGTGGCGGGTGGGAGGCACAGATGCTGCAAGTCTCCAGGACTGTTGGGGACCTGAAAGCAGCCAGTTCCGGAGACCATGACAGGGAAGCTGGGAGGCACAGAAATAGACACACCATACAAAATAAAATTGGACATTTATTTGTGTTATGGAGGGGAAGGAAAAGAGAAGGGGGGAGAGCGAAAGAAAGAGGGAGGGAGAGAGAGAGAGAGAGAGAGAGAGAGAGAGAGAGAGAGAGAGAGAGAAAGGGGGAAAGGGGAGAAGTGGGGAGAGAGGCAGAAGCTGCCTCTTTGAGAGAGGGGACAGGAGGAAGACAGAGAGTGGGGGTCTGAGGCTGCAAGCAGGAAGGGAGTGCTTGTCTCTTAAAGAGACAGAACATTATAGTAGTCATAAAAGAGGATTTTTGTTTTATAGATAGCAAGTAACATGTTAATGTGACCTGTCAGTTATTAACTGTGTGGAACAAACAATTTACTTGCACTTTATTTAGTGGAAAAATAATTTTGGTAGGCTCTTTATCTGTAAGAGAACATTTCTATCAGCTACTACCTTAGAATATTTAGTAAGTTAATAGCCTGTTCTGTTTCAGGTGTTACATTTTTATAGAATTGATCTGAGCCTTTCCAGAAAGTAACTTAAAAGAACAGAGCCAGATTCTCAGGAGTGATGAATAGATAAGAGAATACCTAATGATATTATGTTGAAAATTATGAATTTTCACTTTCATTTATCTACTGTAATAATCAGACATTCATTTAGGCATTAATTAGATGATCCCGAGAAGAGGAGATCCTCCATATAATGAATGACTAATCCTGCTGGAAGTTTAAACAGCATTGGCTTTTGGTACTTTATGTCTTGATTCCACTTATTTTTGTACTAGAAGTTGAGCTTGTCTTTTCTTTCATGAAGGGACCATAGATATTGAGTTATCCTTGCTATTAGGGAAAACCAAAAATATTTTCCATGAAGGGACCTTTAATATTGAGTTATATACCTAGAAGTGAAAAGCAAAAATCATTTAAACAAAAATCAAGCAAGCAAAGAAGAAAATTCTAAATTCTGGGCTGGCGGTGTTGGCTCAAGCTGCAGCAGGGGAGCCCAGCTTGTCATTCTTTGGAATTCAGCAGTTGCTGCTCTGTAATGGTGGGCCCTCCGTGGGAAGTGCTGAGTTCCAGCTGATGTTAATTCCTTTCAATCTTGTAGGATAATTCTATCTCGAGTAGCCCAGTTATTTAAATTCTGCCTGACACGGGGTGAGCGCAGCTCATACGCCAGCACTGGTTCTTTAAACTGCCTGAGATCTGTTGTCTCTCCTTAGCTTAGCTTAGCTTCCTGCTAAGAACTACTTTCATTTTTTTTTTTTCTGTCAGGAAGAGCTTTTTTTCTTTCTTTATTCTTTTGTCTCTTGATCCTTTCTCTTTCTTGGTCTTTATCAAACATTTTCCCTTCTTCTATCAGGAAAATCCTCTTTCTTGATAAAACACTTCCCCCTTTTCCACAGAGAAGGGCCTTTTCCTTGATTTAGTCTTTGTCTCAGGAGACATTCTGTTTGTATCTGTAATATTTGCAAAAGTGAAGTTAATGTTTCTCCTTTTAACAACTTTACATATTGCCACTCCTGAGATGGGGAATTTCTCACGTCCCTGCCAAATCCTGAAATCCTGCTAACCTGAGAAATCTTTACCACCAATCCTGGAGTCCCTCTTACCTGAGCATAGGGTACCTCCACTACTGGAGTGTCCAGATTGCTCTTTCCTCCCACAATGTTGGGTGCCATATGCATGTGTTCTTATGACTCAGGTAGGTAGAAGAAGGAGACTCACTCCAGATTGTAATTCAACTTTTTGCTCGCAGCAGGGGAATCAGCTGCTCATGAACTGAAGGCCTAGCAGCTTTGCAGAAGCCTCTTCATTGTTCCATTAATTGGCATTTTTAGTGTGTCAATTTCCCCATTCTAAAACTGCTTATCTGGGCTAGGAGTTGTCTGAAGGAACAATTACCCAAGAAATTACCACTCATACAAGACTTCCTGGTTTGCCAGGCATGTCTGGAGACTATGCTATGTGAAGGCTCTGAAATTCCTTTAGGAAGAGCAACTCAGATAACTACTGACTATTTATAAAAGGTTACTTCAAAACCTAGGTTCCATCACTTTGGAATTTATGCCAGGTACAAAGAATCTGTTGAATATATCACTACAACTCACATTTTTAATAAGACAGTAGTTGACTACAAAATGTCCCTATTTCGTACTTTTTTCAAAATAAAAAAATAACAAATTTTAAACAACTAGTCACTATTTATACTTTCAAATTATATATTATATACAATAATCTATATATATATATTGACGTCATTTTAAAATTAGGCATTCATTTAAGCATCAATTAAATGATCAAGAGATGAAAATATCCTCCATTTTAACAAATAACTAATTTGAGATTGTAATTTTATGATTTCTCTCTTTCCTTTCTCCTCTCTATCTCCTCCCATGTACCTTTCTCCCTTGCTCTAATTCAAATTCAAGGTCTCTTTTTCTTTAAGAATACACACACACACACACACACACACACACACACACACACACAGAGGGTGTCATTTTGTAAACGGAGACTGCTTTTTTGTTTCCTGGCTGCCCAGACACCAATAATCACACAGAAACTATATTAATTACCACACTCTTTGGCCAAAAGCTCAGGTGTATTTCTAGCTAACTCTTATATCTTTAATTAACCCATTTCTATTATTTTGTATTTTACCACAAGGGTCATGGTTTGTTACCTCTTGTTTTTTGGGCAGCTACATGGCGTCTCCCTGACTCCACCTACTCTCTCCCTATACCTCATCCAGCCTGACTATGTACTGCCCTGTCAAAGGGCAAAACAGCTTTGTTCATTAACCAATGAAAGTAACACATATACAAAAACCCATCCCACCCCCCCCCCCCCCCCCCCAGACCACAATATATAAACATAGATCACTGATTTATTTAGTGTTGCTTGTATGGCTGTAATTTCAGGTTAACCACTTAGTGTTAGGAGACATTCCCAGAGACCACATATTCTCCCTCTCCCAGCAGTCCTTACTCATCCCTGAGTGGAACCTCATGAGATGTCCGTCCCCCTTCCACTTTCTCATGTCTTTTGAGTTGCAGTTTTCAGGGGACTGAAGAAACATGTGCCGGATGAACAGCTGGGATAAAGACCACTTCCATCCATGTTATTACTGATATGTGTTCTCAGAATTTGACTAGTCATTGTGCATCTCAGTGTTCTCAGTACAGCAGAGGGGACACTGGATTAGCCTACACATTCTGCTGGAGATTTGCTACCAGGAATCTGTGATCAGGATTTGTGGCACAAGTGGTGAGCATGACATCTCTGATCATTTGATCCATGCTGTGCCTCCTCCCCTAAATGCGAGGCATACAGGAACACAGGAGACATGGGGGACTCACTTCTTTGGACTGTTGGACAGATAACCAAAGCCTAGAAGGTGTGTTGTTTACACTAACGCTAATTTCTTTCTTTTCCAGCTGTGCAGTGCCTACCCTATTTTATACTCTCTCCCAGGAAGCCATAAAACGTTCTTTAAATATGCGACTGAAAAAAAAGAGTTTTTTTTGAAGGAAATAAAAAGACATCAAGAATCTCTGAGCCTCAGTAGCCCTCAGGACTTCATTGACTATTTTCTGATTAGAATGGAAAAGGTACAAGAGATCCTGACTTGCTACTTCGTATTTGTGGGAGTTCTGACTCAGTTTTCTTTTTCTTGGTAAAAGCTGGATGTTCAAACTAAGGTTCCTTCTAGTGATACATTCATTGCTTGTTGAACTAATTTCTTAAGGCGAATCATTTAGAATATATTGGGATCATTAAGATTCTCAGTTATTTAGAATTAGGAAGTCTACCTTCACCGTGTTCTAGGTTTGTTCTTTACTTTGAGATAAATGAAAACACATACACACCCATTCAAGAGTGATGAGAACATGCCATTATATGTAAACAAACCTCCATAAACAACAGGTGTGAAGACTTAGGGAACACAGGACTTTTCTTTAGAGAGACTCTAGAAAACCTTTGCAGTGGAGCTCGGCTTTGAGGAAGCTCCAGTTTAGTCTAACAGGAGGATAGGCTAGAGGATGGTAACTGTAGTCTTCAGCTGAGCTACCTTTGAGAAGGTGACATAGATTTTAATTATGGTGGTGGGCATAAGGACTGAATTGGTTAAAAATAGCAATGGAGTTTGTATGTGTATAGTCCCTGAGACTTTAAATGTAATAAAGTTTTACTGGGGCTAGAACTGATGGAATCAGTAACTGATTTGATACACACTTTTTGTGGGCTTTAAGGACCAGTCTTAAACTACCCCCTGGTCCAAAAGAGACACTACAATAAGTGAAGTAAAAGGTGTCTTTACTGCGTACTTTTCTGCGTCAGTTTGTTTATTCTTCTGCTGTCCTCCAAAGTTTCCAGCTTGTATAAACATAGAGACACAACCAGCAATTCTCTGGCAATAGGAAGGATATCAGGCATGCATTTCTTAGGGCCATGAAGACAATAAGGGCTAACAAGGCAGGTACCTGTATCCTACTTCTTGGCTCAGGGGTGTGTGTCTTGTGATGTGCTGGGCATATCTGAAGAGGGGCAATAGGGGAAGGGGCTATGATTTCTAAGCGGTGAGAAGGGAAGTTCATGTATAATTACATCTGTGTGGCTAGTTAAGCTGTGAGTTTGTGCTCCAATAAATGTAGGGGAGGAAAATGCAGCAACGCTGCGCACTTTCTAAGCACTTCTTCTGGTATGGCTGGAAAAACATCATTGCGGTAGCCATGATATCCCGCGTATGCTGTGGTAAGAAGGTGGGTGGAGTTTGGTTCACAGTAGCATTTTCGCAAAATGTTAACTGATTAACGGGGACCTCTCAGCCCTAGAGATTGCATATACAGTAGCTAGATCAAAGGGGAAAATTCCTATGGTTATGTCGTTTAAAATTTGGAGGCTGATGCTACCAGGCTCAGGCTAAATGGTGGGGCACTTGTTCCAGCAGATACCCAAGGGAGAGCGGATTACTTTCTCTGGGGCTGGTTAAATGATTCAGAGCTTTTTCCTGTATCTCTAGGGGTAAAGGCACAAGCAATTAATTTCCTAGACTAAGGTCTTGTATCAAAAAACTGAAATGAAGGTAAGTAAAGAATATTACCATTCGGATAGAGCAGGGACCAGCGGTTACACTCTCCTAAGTCAGCTCTTATAGTAATCAGGATTCCCAGTCCTCCTTATGGTGAGGGCAGGCCTGCTGCATCCTCCTTTCCAGTGCTTGTTCTTTGAGGCTCCAACTATTTGCAAAGCTTCTCTCCTGCCATAAAAGATAATTATCGGAAATTAACTTCTCTGTTTACATTAGGGAATGGGCATAGAATTAACTATGAAAACAAAGGTTTCTAGGCCGCGTTAAAACTTTCAGTGTGAAAAGGTCATCCAGTGGAGCAGTACAAGAAAATTATGCCCAATAACTGATTGACACACTGCTGGTTTTTTTTTTTTTTGGGGGGGGGGGGGAGACGGGTTCCCCTATGGAAAAGGGAGTGTTATGGTTTCACAGGGGTTTTACAGAAATGACAGTGACTATTCCAAAGGCAAATATATCCTGCAGTTTGAGTGTCCTCCATTGGAATATGTGATCCTGTGGATCAGCCTAGTGATTCTTTCAGCTGTATTCTCACTGTATAATCCTGTGGACCACAGCACACACTATATTTGAAAAAAGTCACAGAGAAAGTAATTTTCTCCAGTGGTTGAAAAGTGAGGAACCAGAAAAAAACCTTGGAACTTTATGTCTTCAATTATGTTTTGACTGTGTGAAGAAATCCTAAGGGCCACTAGATTTCTTTGTCTTTAGGTAGAACACTTTCTAATGTCTAGCTTACCTATAAAATTCTTTTTCATATCGAATTATTTTATGACCTGTAAGCCTTTAAAACTAACAAATATTCAAACAGGCAAAACTAATTCCTATTACCTGTAATTGTTAGGAAAAAGAGAATAAAAAGTCAGAATTTACCATAGAAAACCTGGTCATCACCATATCGGATCTTTTTGGTGCGGGCACAGAGACAACGAGTTCCACAATGAAATATGGGCTTTTACTCCTGCTGAAGCACCCCGAGGTCACAGGTATGATCATGGATGGGCAGATGAATGTCCAGGTAGATCGCGCTAGAAATTATCTCACTATTTCCTAGAATGGACACTGTATTAGCAACATTTGCATAATTAGTATTCTTACCTCCTGTTGGATTAATTCAATTCAAACTAGCTCATAATAAATATAAAATAAAATATTTAAGCTGCAGCGGGGAATGAAAGGGCAGTGATCACTATTCTCCCTGCTATGATTCAGAATCCTTGATCAGGTTGAGACAAATACATAGCAGTTTTCTTAGGGCCCAAACAGAACTAGCCTCTTCTTACATGTTCCCTATATCATAATAAATAGTTATTTATTTTACAGAAAGTATATGCCATATAAACGTTTCTTAACATATGTTAATTATAGACAATAATGTATGTTATTACAACTGTTTCATACATATATAATTATTTTGATTATACTCCACTGCATTTTCTTTCTCCCCTTCTCTCCCAGTAATCGCCTTACTCTTCCTTACTGGTCCCTTTTTACTTTATGTCTGTTTTTTTTTCTTTTTACAATAAGCCAATAGTTTAATTAGGTTTATTTACCTTACCGTTGGTAAGGTTTTATGTAAATGGAGATTGCTCATTCATTTCCTGGCTGCCCAGATCCTAATAATCAAACAGAAACTATATTAATTACAACACTTGCCAATAGCTTAGGAATAATAGCATATTCCTAGCTAGCTCTTACTTATTAAATTAACCAATTAATTAATTGGTAGCAATAATCTATCTATTAATCTGTGTATCACCATGAGGCTGTGGCCTATCAGCAAGTCTCTGGTGTCTTTCTCCTTCAGCAGCTACATGCCATCTTTCTGACTCTGCGTTCTTTCTTTTTGCATTCAGTTTAGTTTTCCTACCTAGCACTATTCTAACCTGCCATTGGCCAAAGCAGTTTCTTTATTAACCAATGGTAATAAAACATTCATGGCATACAGAGGGGAATCCCACATCAGTGTTATTTACTGGATTATCAACAACTGACCAGTGGCTACATTACTTAAGAGAATCTTTCTTTACATCCCAGAAAACATTAACTCCCCGTAGATCCTCCAGAGGGAAGGTTGATGGGACCAGTCTTGTACAGATGTTTTGTGGGTTATCATAGCTGTTGACAGTTTACAGGTGAAATGGCCATGTCTCATAGGGTTTCTATTACTGTGAAAAGGCACCATGACCACTGCAACTCTTATAAAGGAAAGCATTTAGTTGGGATTGCTTTGCAGTTCAGAGGTTTAGTTTGTTATCATCATTGTGGAAAATATGGTGGCACACAGGCAGACATGGTACTGGAGAGGTGGCAGACAGTTCTACATCTGGATGTCAGGCAATGGGAAGAGAGAGTGATCCACTGTGTTTGCTTTGAGCTTCTGAATCCTCCAAGCCCACCCCCCGCCCCGCGCCACTGTGGTAAACTTGTCCCAGTAAGACTTTACCTACTTCAACAAGGTTACACCTCTAATAATACTACTCCCTATGAGTCTATGGGAGCCACTTTCATTCAAACCACTACACTAGACTTTATCAAATGTTTACAAGCTTCTTGTGCTTCATTTCTTAAGAACTCTGTTCAGAACTATAGCCCATGTTTTGATTTGATTATTTGTTTCATGTTTAGAGTTTCATGTTTATTGTGTATTCTAGTATCAACCCTGCATCAGATGTGTAGTTGAAAATGACTTTCTCTTATTCTATTGACTGCCTCTTCATTTGATCAACCATTTCCTTTGCTGCAAAGAAGAGGCTTTTTAGTTTCATGATGTTCTTGTCAATTGATGACTTTATTTTATTAACAACTGGAGTCCTATTTATTAAGTCCCGTGTTTCTCCTTGTATCCTCACCCAAACATCATTTCCTCCATCATGCCCATGTGCTCTTTTTATTATATTCTGTTGGTGAGGCAGCTTGTTGGTTCCTGGCTGCCTGGCTAGTTTAGACCAGAAATAATCACACAGAAACTGTATTAATTAAATCACTGCTTGGCCCATTATCTCCAGCTTTTTATCGGCTAACTCTTATATTAAGTTAACCCATTTCTATTAATCTGTATATTGCCATGTGGCTGTGGCTTACTGGGTAAAGTTTCCAGCGTCTGTCTTCAGCAGCTCCATGGCTTCTCTCTGTCTCTACCCTCTTTCTCCCCACATTCAGCCTAGGTTTCCCCACATAGTGCTGTTCTGTCCCGCCATAGACTCAAAGCAGTTCTTTATTTTTTTTCAAAGTTTATTAAATTATGAAAGTTTCCATTTCTGCCCCTCCTCCCCACACCCTCCTACCCCCCCTCCCCCTCCTCCTCCCTCTCCATCCCTAAGAGCAGTCAGGGCTTCCAGCCCTGTGGGAAGTTCAAGTTCCTCCCCTCTCCCTCCAGGTCCAGGAAAGTGAGTATCCAAACAGACTGGATCCCAAAAATCCAGTATATGCAGAGGAAACAAGTCCCGGTGTCATTGTCAATGGCTTTTCAGAAAGGCTCCAGGCCAGCCACATTCAGAGAATCCGGCCACATTCAGAAAATCTGGTTGGATCACGTGCTCGTTCAGTCCCAGTCCAACTGGCCTTGGTGAACTCTCATTAGATCAGTCCCCTTGTATCAGTGGGTGATCGCACCCTTCGCGGTCCTGAGTTTTTTTTTTTCATGTTCTTCTTCCTTCTGCTCCTCATTTGGACCATGGGGGGCTCAGTCCGGTGCTCCAATGTGGGTCTCCGTCAGTATCGCCATCCATCGTCGGATGAAGGATCTCACTCATTAAAGCGTTTTCTATGTCCATCCATTTGCATGCAAAATTCAAGATGTCATTGTTTTTTACCGCTGAGTAAAACTCTAGTGTATATATGTTCCACACCTTCTTTAACCATTCTTCTATTGAGGGGCACCTAGGTTGTTTCCATGTTCTGGCTATTACAAATAGTGCTGCTATGAACATAGTTGAACAAATGCTTTTGTGGTATGATAGGGCATCTCTTGGGTATATTCCCAAGAGTGGAATTGCTGGGTCCTGAGGGAGGTTGACTCCCAGTTTCCTGAGAAACCACCACACTGATTTCCACAGTGGCTGCACAAGTTTGCATTTCCACCAACAATGGATGAGAGTTCCCCTCACTCCACATCCTCTCCAGCATAGGCTATCATTGGTGTTTTTGACTTTAGCTAATCTGACCAGTGTAAAATGATATCTCATAGTTGTTTTGATTTGCATTTCCCTGATTGCTAAGGAGGTTGAGCATGACCTTAAGTGTCTTTTGGCCATTCGGAGTTCTTCTGTTGAGAATTCTCTGTTCAGATCAGCACCCCATTTTTTAATTGGTTTAATTAGAGTTTTATTGTCTAGTTTCTTGAGTTCTTTGTATATTTTGGAGATCAGCCCTTTATCTGATGAGGGGTTGGTGAAGATCTTCTCCCAGTCAGAAGGTAGCCTTTTTGTCTTACTGACAGAGTCCTTTGCTTTACAGAAGCTTCTCAGTTTCATGAAGTCCCATTTATTCATTGATTCTCTTATTGTCTGTGCTACTGGGGTTCTACCTAGGAAGTGGTCTCCTGTGCCTATGTCTTGTAGACTACTTCCCACTTTCTCTTCTATCTGGTTCAAAGTGGTCAGATTAACATGCAGATTCTCATTTCTGAGTTTAGTCTACCTCAATATTATATTCTCCTTATCCATTTTTTTAACTGAACAATTTTATGTTGTCATTTTTTATTTTTACAGCTGAAAACTCTTCCATTCTGTATATGTACACATTTTCATCATCCATTCATTGGTTGATGGGCGTCTAGGCTGGCTTCGTTTTTTGTTATCAATAAACAAGGATATATAAATGTGTCTGTGGTAACATATGGGGTTCTTGGATATATGTCCAGGAGTATTCATGTGATACATCTCTCTTTAGCTTATTGAGGAACTGCCATAATGTCTTCCATAACGGCTGTACTATTTTGGACTCCCATCAGCAGGGCAAAGGGTCCCTTTTCTGCCATCCACAGTAACATCTGTTGTCAGATTCCTTAATGATAGCCATTCTGACTTGGGTAAGATGCTATCTCAAAGTAATTTTAATTTGCATTTTCCTGATGACTAGGGTTGTTAATCACCTAAACAAACACGTTTAGCCAGTTGTGATTCTTCTTATGAGAACTTTATATTCATTTAATCTATCCACTTGCTGAGTGACAGAATTTTTTGTTTAGTGTTTAGTTGTAGGTACACAGGTTCCCCATTTTTCCGAGGCACTATGCAGGGCTGTTCTGCTTCCTGGGTTCCACTGCATCAGCTTGAGGGTGTAGCATAGAACTGCCCTCTCCTGTTATGTTAATTTCACCTACGGCCCAAGGGTGTAGCTTAGAGAGAACTCTCCCTTTACTATCATGGTAATTCCACCTGCAAGCAAGGTTCTCGCCCGCAGGCAAGGTTCCCAGGTCAGCTTTTCTCTGAGCCTGAGCACGCCCACCTGGCTTCCTCTTTTCTCTGTCCAGCTGCTCTCCGACCTTGGGTGCGGCCCCCTGACTTTTCTCTTTCCTTGATCCTGATGGGGGGCTGGTGTCCTTTTGCCCCACAGTATATATATCCGACTTATGCTTAATAAAGCTGCCATTTGCCACTTGCTCCTTGGCAGATGAGCCCAGTCTCTTTGTGTGTGTGTCATGTGTTCAAACCCTTAGGACAGTCGTCCGTTCTCGTGGGCTCGAGTCAGGAAAAGCGCACGCCTGTTTCGAGGTTCGGGTGTCCACAGAAAAGTGCGGAAGCTTACATTTAGTGATTACAAGTCTTCATAATTTCTGAATTTCTGAAAATTAGTCTGAAAGATAGTTAGCCAAGAATTTGTCCAATTCTTGGAATTCTGTGTGTGCTTTTCTATTAGTTTTTTTTTTAAACAAACCTTTTTTTTTTTTTTTTTTTTTTTTTAAAAAAACCTTTTTTTTTTTTTTTTTTTTTTGCTATGTAGACTCTTTTGATTTCATTTGGTCCCATCTGTTAATACTTGAGGCCAATGCCCTGTTCTCAGAACTCTGTTCAAAGAGTTATCTCCTATACATATTTCTTTAAGTTTATCTTTGATGTTTTTCCTAGAAGTCTCAACATTTCAGGCATTAATGAAAGGCTTTGATTTACTTTGATTTTTGCATAGAGTGAAAGACATGTAATTTAATTCTTCTGTAAATAGATATTCTGTTCAGCCAACAACATTTATTGGAAAGACAGTCTTATTTTTGCCCCACTGCATGTTTCTCCCTCTGTGTGTGTGTGTGTGTGTGTGTGTGTGTGTGTGTGTGTGTGTGTACAGTGTGAATGTGTTTATTTCGCCAAATTTATTTCTCAGTATATTTGTTAATGGTATATGGGAAAGGTATTGGTTTTATATGTTAACTTTAACTTTTGATGCTTTGCTAAAAGTGTTTATAGTCTTCAGCATTTTATGTTATATACACTACTATCTTATACTTAGACTCTTGTCATCTGTGTGTTAGGTTTCCTAGTCTTGTAGAAATGTTGGAATTTGTTTTCCTCATCTCTCCACTCCTTTCTACAACTTGAAAATGATCAAGAATCACGTAAAAGATAATTCTTTTCCACTTTATAAAAACAATGATTTCTGTCCTGGTAGCTAAAATTCAGGAAGAAATTGCACGTGTGATTGGCAGGCATCGGAGCCCCTGCATGCAGGACAGGAACCACATGCCCTACACAGATGCTGTGCTGCATGAGATCCAGAGATACATCGATTTTGTTCCCATTCCCTTGCCTCGTAAAACAACACAGGATGTGAAATTCAGAGGATATCACATTCCCAAGGTGAGATCTATTTCATGTGTGTTCCTTACCGTGTGTCTTTGCCTGTCAACAATGAAGTAATGTGATTACATAGAACACGGGTTTCAGAATCATACACCAGTCATCTCAGCCCCCTCATACTCTGCTTCTTTGTTTGTCATTTGTTGATATGGGTTTCTAACATGATTGGGTTCTCACAATCTTTTCAGTCCATTGATGTGTCCATACGCTTCCTGTCTGTTAGTTCAATCTGCTGTCCACATCCTTGCCTTCCAGTGGGTTTTACTACTCTTGTCAATTAACCACAATTCTATATTTCCTTCTTCCTCTGTACTTTCAGTTTGACTTACTTAGAAGAAATCCAATCTAACAATGTCTTTCCTCTTCCTTGGTTTGGTGGAACTCATCTATGTAGCTCAGTTAGTTGGTATCATACCAAACACATTGGTATTGTTTTTATATACACAATTTATTTTGAGACTTGGTCTTATTCTGGACTTAAAAATAATATCCCAGATCCAACTTCCTGAGTACTGGCATTTACAGGCTTGAGCCACCATTTTCTATTTAGTTTTAACCAGAACTTAATATTTAGTTTACCAATAATAAACTCATTTTATTCCAGTTAACTGCAGATTAAAAGCATCATACAGCTAGTGTATGGAATCAAGCCAAACACAAGCCCAGTCCTCACAGTTGCTTGGCAAGCACTTTCTCCACTGAGGCATCTCACTGGACTCTATATTATGAATATTAATGGTTATTGATTAATGCTAGTTGAGCCCCAAGATTTTGGAGATAAAGACATAATTTCTCTTTGTCTGAAACTGTTTTTGTATTAGCTAGTGGTATTAGTGGATATTTTGAATAATTCATTATACAATTTTAATGTTTGTCCTAAATATACTTAGTTCATGAAGTCTCCAAATATTTTGTTGATCTCACCATCAAAGTTTAGGGTTCGTCTACTCTGGTCTTTCTGTTTCTGGAAAGTACCCTTTTTTCTCTTTGGTTTCTGTGTGGGCGTATAGGGCAGGGGTGACACTGGTTGTTTAAACAGGGAGACTTAAAGCTATAGAACCAAGATAAAGTCTTTCAATCTTTTCTCCTGGAACCTGCCCTCTGGATAATACCAAATAATGAAAATCCCATTCTGTACTATTTTAATTTTTCAAGAACCTTCCATGTTCAAGATTATTCACAGTTTTTCCAAATTCTACTCTAATAACATGTGTGTTATGATTATGGATCATCATATGGAGTGTCTCAGCTGACTCCCTATTTACTAATATTTGATACTTTGTAATAGTTGGCTATATTAATAAGAACTTCCTTCACTTAGAAATATAACGTCTTCTGTATTCTTTTACAGTTATTTTTTCAAGTGCTCAAATATATTCATAATAGCTATATTTTGAAGTTTTGTAGGACCACTAAATTTATACAGTCATACTGGCTCATTGCTTTTCATTTTTTATGACTTGCATTTCTCCTTTTCCAAGTTTACTAATGGGAGGTTATTAATCTTATACAACATTGAAGGTTGTTGAAGAAAATGGCAATGAGGTTTTCAAAAATGACGTACATTCTTTCTTCCAGAATGAAAAAATGATTTACCTTTCTTAAATTAAAGCATGTTTTTTTCATATAATCTATTTTAATTATGGGTTTCCCTCCCCCAACTCCTTGCAGTTCTCTTTACCTCACAACCCATCCAAATCTATACACTTTCTTTCTCTCTCTCATTAGATAATGAACTCATTAGATAAAACCAAAAGCAAGCTGGGCAGTAGTGGCACACAGCTTTAATTCCGGCACTCAGGAGGCAGAGGGAGGTGGATCTCTGTGAGTTTGAGGCCAGCCTAGTCTACAAACCAAGTTCCAGAACACGCACCAAAGCTAGACAGAGAAACTCTGTCTCAAAAAATCAAATCAAAACAAAACAAAACAAAAACCAAAAAAGAAAACCCGCCCAAACAAACAAAAGCAAACAACAATAAGAAAAACCCAAACAAGTAGCAACAAAAACAAACACACCAGAATATAACAAAATAGAGAAAAAAAGTTCCAAATGAAAAACACATGGAACACATACAGATGGATGCACAAATTCATGTGCATGGAAACCACTTAACAAAATCAGAATCCATACTATATAAACCAAAGACCTGAAAGCAAAAAAAAGAATTCCCAGAGAAAGCATTAAAAAACAAACAAACAAACAAACACACAAACAACAGAAAAGCCTTCCACAAACACCTGAGTTCTTCTTGTATGGGACATATACTGCTTGACATTGGTCCTGCCTGAAGTGCAGTTTGTTTCCCTACTGAGACTGTTGGAGAAAACTGATTTTTCTTAAGTCAATAGTTGTTAACTTAAGATAGTTTCTGGGTTAGGGATTGGGGCTTATGTCTGCTTATTCCTTCAGTGCTGAGAACTCACCTGGCTTAGACCTGTTAAGGTACTGTTCATGCTGTGACTTCATATAACATGCCAGTCCTGTTGTGTCTAGAAGGCCTTGTTTGCTTGGTTTCCTCCATCCCCACTGGATCTTACAACCTTTCTATCTACTCCTTCTCCAAGTTCAGATGAATTTACAATGGTGTTGCCCTGTGGGATGATGATGGAGGAGGGTCATCTGTCTATTGTTACTTTCATTGGTTAATAAAAAGACTGCCTTGGCCTTTTTGATAGGCCAGCCCTTAGGTGGGTGGAGTAGACAGAACAGAATGCTGGGAGGAAGAATGCAGTGAAGCAGTCGCCATGACTCTCCTCTCTGAGATAGACCCAGGTTAGAATCTTCCCTGTAAGCCATGACCTCGTGGTGATATACAGATTATTAGAATAGGTTAATTCATATGTGAGAGTTAGAAATAAAGGGGCTAAAGACAATGGGCCAGGCAGTGTTTAAATGAATACAGTTTCCATGTAATTATTTCGGGTAAAGCTAGCTGGGCAAATGGCAGGATGCAGCCCACTGTTCCCTTTACAGGATGACACTGTTGAATGTGTATCAAGATAAATGCACTTCAGGGAGCTTCTTCAATTCTGTAGGTTCCTGGCATCCGAGCACAAACTAGAGATGTTGGTTGTAATGAGGTCAATGCACAAAGTCCCTGAATGAGAATTATTGGATACAAAATCTGTTAGTACTGGTATTGATGTTTTTTTGACATAGAACAAATGACTTTGCTCTCTTTCCCTCTTTGGCTCAATCTGCTCATCATCCAAAGAACAAAGAGATCAAATGAGAGACAACTAATTTTTTTTTCAGGTTCCAAGGCTTCCTTAATAAATTACTTTTGTTCTTTTTCTTTCAGGGCACAAGTGTAATGACATGTCTGTCTTCTGTCCTACATGATGACAAAGAATTTCCCAACCCGGATAAGTTTGACCCAGGTCACTTTCTGGATGAGAGAGGCAACTTCAAGAAGAGTGACTACTTCTTGGCTTTCTCAACAGGCAAGCAAGTTTTGTTTCCATGTATGTTAGGACCCATGTGAGGTGAGAAGGGTCATGTATGGAGGCTTCTGTGGGTGGCATGAAGAGGCCAGAGGCAGCAACCCCAAGATGAAGGCTGCTTCTCATTGGATTACTGGCTCCACCTACTGACCCTGCTTCTGAACCTATAGCTGAGCTTCTCAAGAGCTCTTTCTAGAAGAAATCCTATTCTTCTGAGGCATTTCTCTCTGCCCAGAGGAGTCAGGCCACTGTGACTCCAAGAAACACTTTACATGTAGCAACTGAGTGCTCAGATCCAGGGTCACAGTGTGTGGTGTGTGAAAGAAACAACGAGGATAAATGAAGAGGAAAAGACAGTACCCTGTGAAAACCAGTGCTTTTCTCAAGTCCTCCAGGGAGAGTAATTTGGGTGTTTTTGAAGGACACCAGGCTGAATGGTCAGACTGCAGAAGTTGCTTACAGGAAGTACCATTTAAGTGCCTTCTTTCAATTTGAAAGGGTCTGAAAAAAAAAGAAAGAAAAATTAATCCACTCTAAGGTATGATTAAAGTGTTAAATGATGATTAAAGTAATTAAAAAGGAAGAGACTGTTCCCTTGGGAACAGAGGAAATGACAAGTCTGACACAAGCAAGTAGGTTTCAATAGACCAAGAACCAGGTGGGACTGGAACCTGTCTTGCTGAGACAGAATTTGATGTTCCAGCAGAGCCAGGGCTATTACATAGAGAAACACTGTCAAAAAAAAAATTAAAACAGTTTTGTATTTGAGAGTGAGTGAGGTAGGGCACAGAAAAACTTAGAATTGGGAAAGGAAGGCTTAAAAATGATATAAATATATTATTAATTTATGAAATATAAAAACATAAAATTACCTCCCCAATAAGAAATAGCTGAAAAGAATAGAATAGCAAAGCAAAGCAAAAAAAAAAAAAAAAAAGAAAAGAAAAGAAATTTGTCCTGAGGAATGGAAGAACAGGAAGGAAATCAGGACAGTACAAAAATACAGTCAGTTGTTGGGTAATTAGTCTGAGTTAATTAGTCATTTGTTAATAGCTATTCTATGTGTGTTAACTCAGAATTAAGTGACTTAGCAGTTGCAATGTCTTTTTTTAGGAAGAAGAGCTTGTATTGGAGAAGGTCTGGCCCGCATGGAGATGTTTTTAATCCTGACTAGCATTTTACAGCATTTTACTTTAAAACCTCTCGTCAGTCCAGAGGACATCGACACCACTCCAGTTCAAACAGGCTTATTGTCTTTGCCTCCGCCTTATGAACTCTCTTTCATTCCAATCTGAAGTGAGATCATCTTTCTCATAGAGACTGAGACCCTGCTTTTACTTGTCAGCAAACAGGGGTTTTGTGTCCTATGTGCCTGCATTTTGCAGTTCTTCTTAGTGGCAGACCTGCTGCTTCTGAAATATTCTAAAATTTCCCCATAAAATTCTTTATGAACAAGCTCCAGTTTCCACATATGAAAAAAGTCTCACTGATTCAGAAATAATAAAATTTTTGTTGTAGTGTGTGTCAGGTCATTAGTTACATTTTCATTTGAGTGCATTCCAAATTGAAGTGTATTTTCAAATCATGTCTTGTTCTAGTAAGAGTTAGTAAGAAGATTTAGTCTGTGATTTTCAAGAAAACTAATGAACAGTGGAACTGAACCATCATTCATTCCTGTGTCATTATCTAGGAGAATATCTCTTGACAGTGTGTCATGTATACATTTTGTCTTTTCTCCATAGATTTTAAAAGTGATGTGCATGATTACGTATATAAACATATAGGCAGATAAATATGTATGCACATAAGGAGATAACAATGGAAAATCATGTTTACCAAGGGGAGTAGCATGAGATAAAACTTAAATTTCCCTGTTCCTAAGGATACCCTTTTCTTACCTTCTTCCAGAGTTACCTCTACACACTTGACATATGATTCCATATAACCTCATATATACAAACAGAAATATCTGCATATGTGGGTTTTAAGTAAACTGTGATTTGGAAGTGCTATTTGTATAACAACATATCATAGATATTTTTATAAACACATAAACATAACTCACAATATCTTACTATTTGTCTATTATATAACTTTCAAGCTTATTTCCTATTTAAATACACATCCATATTTAATGATTTTTAAATTAGTTTTGAAATATTACCTTCATATATAATTATAGCCACATATCTTTAATGACTTCAATACTATTTTTTAAGTGGCTTGTTAACTGTGCAATGGCTACTCAACAGTAAATATAAACTGTTATTTTTGAAATACTGAATATTATTACATTAAACATTATGTAATTACTCATCTAACTTATGGACCTAGTTAAAAACTACTTGATCAAACATGTGAACATGCTAGAAATTGAATTCTTTGATATATTTTTAATGTTGGTTGCCTTACAGTGACATTTTCCAAAACAAAAATCCTGTCATATGCGAACAATATTTTATTTAAAGTTTTAGAAATTGTTTTATATGTATGTCTGTATATGCTCTGTCTCTGTGAACACTTACATGTACATGTATACACATACTGCCCCTTATACATTCCTACATACCTCCACCCACACACAATTGCTTGTGTATGTATATCAATGATAGAAATTTTAAGTCCCCGTGAAGACAAATAGAACAGAGTGATTGGGAAATTCTTTTTGGGAAACCTAATTTTAGTTAGTCTAGAATTTAGATCTAAATGACTGGTAATTTGAGATCTGGAGCTGAGAAGCTGAAAAAAAATGACTGTAAAATGGTATTTTGGAGTGTTAGGACAGAAATAATATTTGTTAGTGTGGTAGTTTCAATGTAATTGGCCCCCATATTCTCACAGGGAATGGCACTATTAAGAGGTATGGCTTTGTTGTGATATCACCACAGATCAGTTTTTTTATTAGTCCAATTAGGTGATTTAAGCAGCCACAGAAAATATGTTTATACAAGAACTGCCAAATTACAGATATCTCCAAGGCTGTATAAGAGTTAAATGGACTCCTGTGGAAATACTAGATTTAAGATGATTCAAGGAAGCGATAGTCTCATATGGCATACATTCACCTTTTGTTTTTTAAAATATTTATTTATTTATTAATTATGTATACAATATTCTATCTGTGTGTATGCCTGCAGACCAGAAGAGGGCACCAGACCTCATTACAGATGGTTGCGAGCCACCATGTGGTTGCTGGGAATTGAACTCAGGACCTTTGGAAGAGTAGGCAGTGCTCTTAACCACTGAGCCATCTGTCCAGCCCCCTACATTCACCTTTTGTGAAACAGATGTTAAACTCGTGGTCAACTTGTGATAGACTTATCCCTAGAGACTGGAGAGACTTGATTAAAATGGTCTTGGAGTCTGGTCCTCAAATACAATGGACTACCCTGTAGGAAGAAGAGTCTAAGACCATTGAACAATGTAGTAGGACTAGAGGTATGAAAATTTCCCAAAGCCAACTTCTTGGAGAATGATATTGGACTGATATACAAAGGCAATCTCTATATGATGACCACATCCCAGATTCATGTCACACAGCAGCTTGGTACAGAATTGAAGAAGTAGGAAAGAAAATTGAGTCATTACTAAACTTATCCAGGGCTCAAAGAAAACTTTCATGAATTTCTTACAAAAACTAATTTCAGCAGAAAATAGAATGATACCAGATTATGAAGGCAGATAAATAATAATTGAATCTCTGAATTTTGAAAATTATAATTCTCAATGCATAAATGGTAATTAGAACTTTAAAAGAAAGATCAGCGCCCCTGGAGAAATAAATTCAAGATACAGTCATTATTGATTTCATGATTATGATGATGCTTGAATAGGAGAGGCGATTTCCAGAGATTTGGAGAAAAACCAAAATATCAAGTGTTTCAGTTGTGGCAAACATGGTCACCTAAAAAGGGATTTTAAACAGAATGTTCCTAGAAACAATGTTTCTTTTTCCTAAGCATAAATCAAACAGAAGGTCCCTCCTTTCTGGATTATGCAGAAGGTGTGGGAAAGGCAGACATTGAATCAATAAATGTAGGTCAACAAGGTAAAGTCAAGGTAACATTTTTGCTGTTGGAAAACATCTCAAGGGGTCTTTTGTATGCCCCCATGCCAAATTTAGTTCAGTCATTTCCTATAACCATGGAGGAAATTTCTTACTAGAGAAATTAAAGAATTTAAAGTCTATAATAAGAAACCATATTGCTTTGGATAATAGAAAAGCTACAGAGACAAGAACAAAAAATTCAGAAGAAACTATAAAGCAAATATTTTGGCAAACTTCTATAAATGAACAAAGACCAAAATTAAAATTATGAATAAATGACATTATTATCAAATGCCTTATAGTCAAAGGTACAGATGTCATAATAATTTTGCCAGAATATTGGCATACAAATTGGCCTCCTGTTCAGCTTTAAGGGACTGGAACTTTATCTCAGGTAAAACTGAGCATGAGAAGGGTCAAATGTATAAGGTCAGAAGGTTAGAGACAAAAATTAAATCCATATGAGCTAAGAAAGCAATGAACTTATAGGGACCTGATTTGTTACAGAAATGGAATACTCAGATTAACATTCTTCCAATCTCATAAACAAGCCGTAAATTAATGTATGTTTCATGGAATAAATATTAGAAGATATTATAAAAAATGGTCACCAACCATTCAGGTTGAATAAGAACAGAGCATAACAGCTGCTGATATTTCAAAGGTAGTAATATTCCTATCTTTAAAATGGTTAACAGAAAAACATGGGTTAAGGAATGGGTCTTCAATAACAGAGAACCTGCAGGCTTTAAAGCAAATGGTACATGAGCAACTAAATGCCCAGCATATTGAAGAATCAACCAGCCCTTGTCCTATATTTGTTGTTAAAAAAATCTGGAAAATGGAGAATGGTAACAGATCTAAGAACTATTAATAAGGTGAATCAACCAATGGGATCTCTGCAGTCTGGCATTCTTTTGCCTTCTCTATTACCTAAAGGATGACCTCTTATAGTTATTGACTTAAAAGATTGTTTCTTCATATACAGAGAAAAATTTATCTTCATGATGCCTATTTATAATAATTCTCAGCTCTTTAAGACATATCAATGGAAGATTCTCCCTCAGGAAATGTTAAACAGCCTTACTCTGTGCCAATATTTTGTAAGTCAGTTATTGGAAGTAATACATAAGAAATTTCCTCAATCTATAATTTACCATTACATGGATGACATCTTACCAGTGGATTCCAAAGTAGATACATTAGAAAGAAATTTTGAAGAAGTAATAAAAATTTTACCTTGTTGGTGATTACAAATTGCCCCTGAAAAAATACAAAGAGGAGATTATATTAATTATTTAGGCTATAAAACGGGTTTACAAAAAGTAGACCACAAAAGGTACAAATTAGAAGAGATCAATTTCAGACTCTTAATGATTTCCAAAGATTGCTAGGAGACATTTCCAATCTAAGGCCCACTATTTGGATAATTTAAACAAAATCTTAGATGGTGACAAAGACTTAAATAGTCCCAGGAAATTATCAGCTGAAGCTGAAAATAATTGGCGTTGGTAGAAAAGAAATTACAGAAGGCACATGTGGATCTGAAATTTAACTGTGTTCTGACCATATTACCCTCTAACCATTCTTTATAGGAATTTTAATACAGAGGGAAGATATGATCTTAGAATGACTCTTTTGCTACATAAACAGAGTAAAAAATTAAAAATTTATATTGAAAAGATCTCTGAGTTAATTCTAAAAGGAAAATCGAGACATTGTCAATTAGCAGGAATAGACCCAGCAGAAATTATGGCACCTTTCTATAATGCAGAAAAGACCTTGCAGTACTTTTTTGTGTGTGGGAGAGATTAACAACAAATATCCCAAAAGCAAGAGAATTCAACTTATAAAGAAAACTAACTGGATCCTTCTTCACATTGTATGGGAAACACCATTATCTGGAGCTCCTACATTCTATTCTGATGCAAATAGATGAGCAAAGGTGAGTTACAAACCAGAAAACTTAAGTAAAGTTTATGTAAGCCCTTAAGATTCTGTCTAAAAGTCAGAATTATATGCTATTCCCATGGTACTAATGGATTTTAAGGAAATTCTCAACATAGTTGACAATTTGTGATATACAGAGTTGTTTTACATATTCAAACCACTGGATTTATACCAGATGATACAGAATTGACTTTATTACTAATTTAGTTAGAACATATAATCAGGAATAAGAATCAACCCATATACATAACACACATCCAATCCCATATGGGTCTGACAGGTTCTCTATCACAAGGGAATGCAGAACTCAATCAATTACTGATTAGAGATGTGCTGAAAAGCCTCATAATTTCAAAAAACACATCATGTCAAAAGCAAAGGTTAAAAAAACACTTTTCCATCACATGGCAACACGCCAAAGCAATTATAAGGAAATGTCCTACTTATTCTTGATACAACCAAACTCATTTACCTGCAGGAAGTAACCCAAAGGGTATTCAAAGGAATTAAATCTGGCAGATGAT